ATTGGCATCCATCAGGATAAAGCTGTTAAGCACATCATTTCAGGTTGCCATATTAAGTGTTCTCAACAGTGTACCTTTAACCACTTCCAAAACTCCAGATTTGCAGACTTTACAACAATCACTCGAATCCATTGCTAAAAAACTACAATTCGTTCAATCCATCTACACACGTTTTTGGCTCCTTACAAAATCCCAAGACATCACACGTTCATCAAAAGATTCCATAATCCCAGAATGGGAATCCGGATCCAGTCATCGATCACTTTACTATGTTGACCGGTCAAACACCCGGTTACTAATCGCGGACCCACCAAGTTACATTTCGGTCCTTGACCTCGTTTCAATTGTCGTGAGCCATGTTTTAAGGTCGCCGGTCCCGCTTCCGATTGCTTCCTTGTTTCTCTCTCCGGAAGGTTCCGAAACCGCACTTGTGAACATCCTTAAACTTTCGTCCGATGTAAGGGCGACAGGTGGCGTTGGTGGGTTTCTTGGGCGGGAGATACTTCCACAAGATGCAATGCAAGTGCAGCTGCATCCATTAAGACCTTTTTACAAAGGGGAGATAGTGGCGTGGAGGAGTCAAAATGGAGAAAAGTTGAAGTACGGGAAGATTCCAGAAGATGTAAGGCCTTCAGCAGGACAAGCACTTTATAGATTCAATCTTGAAATGTCTCCAGGGAAATTGGAAGCTGTTCTTTCTTCACATGTCTTCTCTTTCAGAAGTTTATCAATCGGGAACAATAATAATAATAATAGTAATATGATCCCTGAAGATAATAGTAACAATGTGGTTGATACCACACATAAGCATGTTGAGAAACCAGAGAGTTCTAGTTCGAGGAATCAGGTTTGTGAAATTAGTTTGTTACCCAAGTTATAGAATTATATAAAGTTTGTTAATTTATATTTTTTTTAACAGAAACAGAAACAGAAACAACCGATTAAAGAACTGGAACATGGGCGTGTGTCGCCTGAAGAATTGGTACAAGCGGTACAAGAAATGCTGTCAGCCGCCGGAATCCGAATGGACACAGAGAAGCAGTCGCTGCTCCAAACAACGTTGTCACTCCAAGAACGGTTGAAGGAATCTCAAGCCACACTTTTGCTGGAACAGGTATGCATGCGTTTTACTATATAAATTAAATAGCCACATTGTGTTGACTGGTCAAATGCTGATGTGTAATAAGTGTTTTTGTGGAATATTTATAGGAAAAATCGGACATGGCGATAAAAGAAGCAGACACAGCGAAAGCAGCATGGCTATGTAGAATATGTTTGAGTAATGAGATTGATATCACATTGGTTCCATGTGGACACGTGTTATGTCGTCGATGCTCGTCTGCGGTTTCTCGGTGTCCGTTTTGTCGGTTGCAAGTTTCGAAGACAATTAAAATATATCGGCCTTGAAAGCAAAGGGTATTATAGTAGGAGTACATAATTCAATTATTTTGTAGGTCATACCATACGATGTTATTGCCTATACGTTTTTGTGCATAGTGAAAACGTATTCTTGTGTATGGGAAGTGGGAAGAGTTGAATACACAATTTTTGTATAGTGGCTTTCATCGGTTAACATTTGTTTTAATGATGGAAAAGGAAATGTTTATACATCCTTGATGCTAGGCTGCTGCTTTTTTTTTTTTTTTTTTTTAATTTATTCGTTAGTTAGGAGGGAGATTCCCTCCCAACCCACTGAACCCACTGCCACATCACTTTTTCTCTTTTATTTTTCTTCATCTTTTCCAACCCACAACACATGGAAACCATATCTTTTTCAACTTATCCAACCCATTCAATTAAAAAAATACAAAACAATCAAGGTAAAAATCTTAATTAGCAATAGAGTTACCACCGGTACCACTCCCTTCTTAACGGGTTGTTTAGTTGGTTTCACTAATCCACTTCATCCTATCTCTTTCATTTTTTCTTGTACCATGTGTTTTAAAACTTGTACCTTAATTGTTTTTCATTTTTTTTAATTAAGTGGGTTGAGAAAGATAGGATTTCTATGTGTTGTGGGTTGGGAAAGATTAAGAAAAAGAAGAGACAAAAATTGATGTGACGGTGGGTTCAGTGGGTTGGGAGGGAATGACTCCCTCATCCCTTAGATGTAACTTTCTCGCCACGAAAATAAACCAATCAAGGAGGTTTATTGATTAGGGTTGTTAAAATGGTGATCTTGACCATAGGTTTGTAAGATCTTATGATTCTAAAAACGACGTGGATAAAAATACGATTGGTTTTGTCAATTGAGCTTGAAATTGAACAATACATATTGCACGAAACCACATAGAGCCTCAAAACTTGGTAAGTTGTACCATTTATGTAGGGGTGTTCATCATTGGATATCCAATGGTTATTTATAAAACCGATTCAATCTAATCATTCATTGGATATTGGATAATGCCAACCGATCTACTTAAATTCGCCACGACCAAATGGACCGAACCTATCAAATTGAAAATTGGATTGGATCAGTTATATCTATTGGATATTTCATGTTGAATATCCAATTTAACCCATTGGGATCTATTTAGTTTCACCCAATTGGATTCATCCGATTTATCAATTATTAAAAAAAAATCTATATTAATAATTTTAATAATTGAAATTGGATATTAATTGTATGGTAATTGGATGAATATTGGATATCCAATCGCATATCCAATTTAATCCATTTGGATTAGGTTGGATTTTGATTGGACTTTCATTGTCATACAATAACCGAACTGATCCAATTGGATATTGAAATTTCGGAACCATCCAATTTGATTATGATTGGATATCTAATGTGTCGGTTTGAATTGGACATATGATGGTTGACAATTTTTTATACATTGTGTTTTGTTTTCATTGCATCATCAAAGTTTTATGGAAAAAGATAATTGTATTATAGAAAAGGACAATGATATCAATAGTGTATTATTTGTGTATGTATAATTATATTTGATAGTTGGATTTAAATTTTATGCATTAAGCTTATCGCCATGTTACCGACTTTTTATATAACTTGTAAACCGGTAAATAAAGATGTATTTATAGTTTTAAACTTATAACTATTTTAAATTTGATTATTTTAAAGAAGGGCAACACCATACCATACTAAAAACTTTGCTTAACATGTCTCACATCATCTCATGCAAAACATTATTATCTCTATTCAAAGCATAACAAGTTTTCATATTGCGTTATTCGTAAAATCATATTTATTATTTTGTTCCTTAATAATCATGTAATAATTATAATTTTGATGTTAATATGGATAGAATAAAGATAAACTATAATTATTTTTGGATAAATTTCAATATATTTTCCAATTATTTTAGGGTTATTTTCATAAAAGACCCTATATTTTGATTTTTTTTCTTTTTAGACCTAAAACTTTTTTCTTTT